TGTGTATTCTTTACATACATACATATAAATATATGATAGTGTCTATAGTGTATATATAGTATATATATATACTATATATACACTATAGACACTATCATATATTTATACATACATTATATATGTGTGTACACATACATACATTATTCAATTATCTCTTTATGTATATTATAAAGCCAGTGGGTGTCTGGGTGAGTCAGAGAGTGTAAAATACAATTCTAGATGGGTGGTGACACAGAGACCCCAAACACATACCTGTGAACACACGTGGGGGGGCTGCAGACCCCTCCTCCTGAGCTGGGAACGCTGGCAACACTTTATGTTTCATCCAGAATCTTGACACAACTCGGCCTGAGGCCAAAAAACCTCGGTATGAAAACTGCTCAGAGACTTCTGTATCTTTAAGCAGCGAGGTATTTGTTTATTCAACGCTGGGAACAGGCCAGCTCACGCTGGACAAACTTGCTCGACCTGAAAGTGCAAAACTAAGGCATTTGATACACTTTGGGTGCTTGGTTAGATCATCTAACACACACATTAATAAGCAGGTGAGTCTCTGGGTAGAGTCTTTCCAGACATGCTCAGTCTTCCACTGTGGGGTCTTCTCCTCGAGCCTTCATCCCTCTGGTGGTCGCCAGGAACGTCTTCCTCAATCTGACCTCTTCAATGAGGTGACCTGAATTCTTCAAGCTTGCAAAATCCTGGCTCTGGGCCTTCTAGATCTTATTCAAACGTCAGGTTTACCTAATTTATTACCACGTGTGTACTACTCCTTTCTATCCTAAGGCCTTTGGTCCAGTGAGCAGGACAGAACATGATATTAAGCAGTGCTCCTAAAATGTTCTTCTAGCAAAACCAGGAGAGCAAACAGGACAGGGTATACCAGCTGAATCTTTGTTAACTCTTTTTTTGTGCCTTTTTGCCATCAGGAGACACTGGCTGTAGTCTTAAACCAGCAGGGTTTCTGACCTTATTCACTGAAGTTAGAGACTGGTCGTGTGGGAATAATTTAGGAATTTTAACTCTGGTTTGTTAATAAAGGAATACTGTGAATAAAGGAATTACTAAATAACCTGGCTTTGAATTTGACATTATTGGGAACAACAGCCCTCCCACTCTTTGGGCTCTCTGCAGCGAGGAAGAACTGGTCTCCAAACACTGCCAGCAGTGGCTGTGCTGGCCCTGGGCCCAGCTCAGCTGTTCTGTCCTGCCTGACTCCCAAACCAGAGAGCCCCTGACATGGAGAGATCCACCTCTGGGGACTGCAGCTCTGCCAGGCAGTAGGTCCTTCTCTGAGGAATTGCAGCCAAGGGAGGAACAGGGGAGGAAATCACACCTTTAGACAGCCCAGCACAGAGGAGCAGCTCTCTCCAGAGCTGCAATTCCAGGGCCCCTTCCCAAAAACACAAAGCCTTCGATAAGGGTGTGACCCACTCACAGCCCTCACTGAGCTTGGAAAAGCCCTCGGAGATCGAGTCCAACCATTCACCCAACACTCCCAGGGCCACATCCACACCTTTCTGGGACACTCCCAGGGATGGTGGTTCCACCTCTGCCCTGCACAGCCCGTGCCAATGCCCGACTGCCCCTTCGGGGAAGAAATGTTCTCTAATTCCGTTAATTAACAAGTCACTTCAGCACCTCTTCACCACACGAAGCCTTTCTCCCAGAAAGGCAGCCAAGGATGGAGCCCCTTCCCTACCTCCCGAGGGAACAGGGCAGACAGGAGTGAGGATCAGAATAACCCCAGCGTTGCTGAACCCCCCAGGGCTGGGACGGGGAAAGGGGCCTTTCCCTCACCCGGAGCTTTGGAGGCGGGTCTTCCCTGGACTCTTTATTCTTTCGAGCCACTGCAGCTCCTGGGCCACGATCTCCCCGTCCCCAGCAGGTCTGTGAGGTGCCGCCGAGCCTCCTCCGTGCTCACCAGAACCTCCACTTCATTCGCAGCCCCGGAGCCGCCGCTGCTCCTTCCATGGCGGCGCCGCCACGGCCGCGGCTCAAACCGGCCAATCAGAGAGCGGTGCGTCACCAAGGGGAGGAGTTCGAACCAATCACGGAGCGGGGCGTCACCTAGGGGCGGGGCACAGCCAATCGCCGATCAGAGCGGCAGGAAGCGGCGGGGCCGGCAGAGCGCCGGACCAATGGCGTGCCGGTGCGTCCCCCGGGGCGGGCGCGGCCCGGCGCAGCCAATGGGCGCGCGGTGCGCGCCGCCCGAGCCGGCGGCCATGGAGCCCCGCGCTCCCTACGACGACTTCCCGGTGGTTTTCCTGCCGCCCTACGAGAGCCCGCCCGCCTGGGTCCCGCCGCACGAGGTGAGGGGGCTCGGGGGGCCGCGCCGGCCCGGGGGCGGCCGCGGGGTCGCCCGGGCGGGGGCCCGGCCCGGCCCCGGCTGAGCTGGCGCGTCCCCGCAGCGGGTGTTTCACCCCGACTACAACAACGAGCTCACGCGGTTCCTGCCCCGCACCATCGCCCTGCAGAAGCCGCCCGGGGCGCAGGTGAGAGCCCGCGGGGGGCCGGTCCCGGCGCGTTTGCCGCAGAAGCCGCCCGGGCCCGCGATGGTCCCGACCCGGCCCGTGCAGGGCGGGGCCCGCGGGATTCCCGGGGCCGGGAAGGGGCAGGACGGGGGGCACGGGCAGGGATCGCTCCCGGCGGGACATCGGGGAGGTGGAGCTGCGGAAGGGCGGGAGGGGCGGCCCCGGGGGGATTCCGGGAAGGGGAGGTGGGAGAGAGGGGCTGGGGCTGCTGGGAACGGGACCAGAGACCGGGATCGGTCTGGGAGAGAGGGGCGGGACCTGGGAATGGGAAGGGACCTGGAAAGGGTAAGGGTCCTGGGAATGGGAATGGTCCTGGGAATGGGAATGGTCCTGGGAATGGGAACGGTCCTGGGAATGGGAACGGTCCTGGAAAGGGTGAGGGTCCTGGATCAAGGGAAGGGCCCTGGGAATGGGAAGGGTCCTGGAAAGGGTAAGGGTTCTGGGAAGGGGAACGGTTGTGGGAATGGGAAGGGTCCTGGGCCAAGGGAAGGGCCCTGGTGTCTGCCTTTCACTGCTGGTTTTTCCCACAGTTGGGCTTCAACATCCGGGGAGGAAAAGCCTCCCAGCTGGGGATCTTCATCTCCAAGGTGTGTCCATCCCTGTCCATCCCCCCTGGATCCAGCTCAGGCTGGGGTTTCCCACACTCAGCCCCTCCTGTGGCACTGCTGGGTCCCTTCCCAGCCCCGGGAATTGCCGGGGCTGAGCCTTCCCTGCTCCCTGTGCTGCCCGGTGCCCCGTGGGTGCTGAGGGCGCTGTGGGAGGGTCGGTGCCCAGCCCGTGCCATCCCTGTGCCCAGGTGATCCCCGACTCGGACGCGCACAGGGCGGGGCTGCAGGAGGGGGACCAGGTGCTGTCGGTGAACGACGTGGATTTCCAGGACATCGAGCACAGCAAGGTGAGCTGGGGCAGGGGGGGCATCCAGGCCCTTCCAGCCCCTCCCCACGGGGCCAGGGAACGCTCTGCCCTGCCCAGCCCTGCCCAGCCCTTGTTTTCCAGGCCGTGGAGATCCTGAAGACGGCCCGGGAGATCACGATGCGCGTGCGCTACTTCCCCTACAGTGAGTGGGGCCGGGGCTCCGGGGCAGCACCTTCCAGCCATCCCTGCCACCTCCCCCGAGTCTGGCAGGGCACAGATGGGGATCTGGGATCAGGCATCACCTCAGGACAATGAGGGAAACTTGGGGAGCGGGGCTGAGCCACCCCGTGCTGGAAGGGGGGATGGTGGGGAAGGACAAAGGTAATTTAGGGCTCCAGAAGCAGCTGATTATCCCTGGATAACACAGGAATGAGCTCTGGCACCAGTGCCAGATACCTCTCCCTAGGGATGCTGGAATGGTGAGTGAAGGGAAGGTCTGTGCTCACTCCCAAGTTCTGCTTCTGCTCCCATAAAGTTCAAAGATTTAAGGGATAAGAAAAGAGATCAAGCCAAGCCAAACAGGGTTTCTTCCTGAAATGGAAACTAGCCACAAAAAGCAAAACATGGAGTGGGGGAAGAGAGGGTTTAAAACAAACTTGCTCTCAGTGCCCTGAAATGAGGGGCTGGGATGCAAATGTGCAATTGCAAAGGCAGAGGGGCCCGAGCTCTGCCTCTGCCTGGGCAGGTGCTACCAGAAGGTGTTTTCCTGCCCCTGGGGGTGATTCCCCCGTTGCTCAGGCTCTGCCTCTCCCCCAGATTACCAGCGGCAGAAGGAACGGACTGTTCACTAACGGGGAGCTCTGCTGGGGCTCCTCCTGCACAAACCTCTCCTGCTCTCCCACCCCCCGAGATGGCCCAGCACGCTCAGCTCCCACTGGAGGCACAGCTGTGCCCTGCCTGGAGAGATGCCCAGAGTCTCACCCAGCTGGAGGCTGGAGGGGATTGAGCCTGTGCTCCTGAGTGGGGCTGGAACAGCTGCTGGGAACTGGGGACGAGGGAGCTGCTCCAGCACCATCCCTGCTCCTCTTTCAGCAGGACTTGAGTGAGTGCTGTGCTGGCTCTGGATCCCTTGGTCCTGGAAGCTTTGTTGGGATGGAAAAGCACGAGGGGCTGAGGCTCCTGAGCAAAGCAGGGGCCTTGTCCTCCAAGAAATCCCCCTGTTCCCTTCTGTCATGCCATGGAATTCTTTCCTTCTCCTCTGTGCCACCTCTGCTCTTCTCTGCTGGGTTTGCTGGGGGATCCAGGAGTAAAACCCACCCAAACTCAGTGCCCAGCTCTGGCTGCACTGGGCTCTTTGTGCCTCTGTGCTGGGAATGACCCCGGGATACAGGGCTGGGGTGTTTGGAAACCTCCACTGCGTTGTTTGGCTCCTGTGGGAAGAAAGGGACAATGGGAATGACAGTCAGGGACACTGAGACATTAATGTCAAACAGGGGAAAAGAGTGATCCTCAGAGGATTCCTTGGCATTCCTGAAGGGGCTGTAATTGGAGATAAAAAACAGATCAAAACCACCTGCCACAGATCACACGGGGGTGTCCACAAGACACAAGGGCCAGGTTACAAACACACTCCACTTTATTTCCACATTCCCACCCTCCCCCGGCCAGAGCATTCCCACCCCCTGTGAGTCCCGGGAAGGACCCTGTTCCCATCACAAGGTGTCATAGTCGTCCTCGTCCTCATGCTTCCTCTTGAGGGGGTTGGGGTCGCTGGCTGTGCCCTGGGACACCATGTTGGTGGTGATGAGGATGTTCTTGGGGCCGATGAGGGATGGGTTGATCAGCACGTTCTGCACGGTCGGGGTGGTCGGGGTGGCTGTGGCACAAAGGGAATCATTTAGTGAGAGCTTGGAAAAAGGAGAGGGGATATTCCCCACTGAAACAACTTCCAAGGCAATAAAGCAGTGTGCTGGCTGAACACCCTGGAATGATCCCCAGATGGTAGTGGAGAAGGTCGGGAAATGCTTGTGGGGTGAGGACAGAGGAGTGAGAGCCCAGAGGTGGAGCCAAGGCACGAGAGACACTGATGCTCTGTGGCTGTCACTGCTGTGCTGGGAATGGACACTGGAAGTTACTGGAATGAGGGAGAGGAGAGGTTACTTCCCACTTGAGGTTGCCCAGAGAAGCTGTGGCTGCCCCAGCCCTGGAAGTGTCCAGGCCAGGTTGGATCAACCTGGGACACTGAAGGTGTCCCTGCCCGTGGCAGGAGTGGGACTGGAGGAGCTTTATCCTCTGCCAACCCAAAGCACCCTGTGATTATCCCTGTGCTCCAATCCCAAGGCAATCCCAGCCATACCTGACTTCCCAGCAGGTTGGGAGGACGGGATCTGGACGGTGAAGCGCTGCCCAGCCAGAGACACCGGGGCCCCCACCTTGGCTGACACAGACACGGTCTGGGCTGAGGGGGTACCTGGAACCCAACACAGCCCCTCAAAATCCATCAAAATACATCAACAGACGCTCCTAAATCTGCATCCAAAGTGGAACCTGTGGGAATGCACAGGGACACACCGACACAGATTCCCAGGCAGAACCACACACTGACTCCTTTTGTCACATTTCCTCCAGCCCCACACAATTCCAGGCTATAAACACACACTTATTTCTAAGGGCATGTGCTCAGCCCTCAATTCTGTGAACATTTTAGAAATGGTCTTTTTCAGTTCACTTTAGTTCAGTGTCACACTGACAATGAGGAAAAACCTTCACACTTCAGTAAATTTCTTGAATAGTCTCTTAAATAAAGAATTTATCACAAATACAGTGAATTTGTAATATCAATATGTATCAAAGATCATTGTAATAATAAAGATTAAATTAATTTAGCTGTCAAACAGTATAAGGTCAGGTGGCCACTGACAGTCCCTCAGTGGTTGAAAAGTCCTTTAAATTATTCCTCTTTATTTTCCCTCCATAAAATGAAGGTGGGAACCCCCCCCCAGAGCTGTTTCCTACCCAGAGTGGGAGTGCTGGGTCTGCTGCTCACGGCACCCACGCTCAGGCGAGGGACTGTGATCCTGCCTGCTGTGGCAGAGACCTGGGGGAGAGAACCAGGGAATCAGGGAATAAATAAGAAATCCCCACACTGAGACAGTGTTTGCCAGCAAAGACAATCTTTTCCCTCTAAAGCAGAAACAACTGAGATGGAAGTACAAAATACCCCTTAATATCTACACCAAAGCCTGGCTTGTGCCTTTGACAACCTGACATTCAACCTGACGGTTCCTCCTGGACATCAGGAGGAATTTTCTCATGGGAAGGGTGGTCAGGCATTGGAAGGGGCTGCCCAGGGAGGTGGTGGAGTCCCCATCCCTGGAGGTGTCCAGGGCATGGCACTCAGCTCTGGGCTGGGGGACAAGGTGGGGATCAGGTTGGACTCAATCTCGAAGGTCTTTTCCAACCTCAGTGATTCTGTGATACTGCTTAAATGCTACAAAATTCCCAGATGGATTTTATAACACATTTTGCATTTCAGATTAACTGGCCATAATAATATTTGCAAATGCAGGGTGGAGACAGAGGGCACTGACGGTCCTAAATATTCACTGATGGTTCCAAACACCCACTGACGTGCCCAGCTCAACACCTGCCCACAAGTGCCTTCCAGAGGTGTGGAAGACCATCATCCCAACCCCACTGCTGCCACCCCAGGAGGAGCATCCCCAGATTCCCCATTCCCAGAGCCCTCACCTTCTTCTGCAGGGCCTTGAGCCTGTAGTTGGGGGCAGTCAGGCAGTACCTGTCGGGGGGCAGCCGCGGCCCCGAGTAGGGTTTGATGAGGGGCAGCGGCGTCTGGTTCTTCTGGCGGGCGATGTCCAGCAGGAACTGCAGACACACGACAGGCCCACGTCCCCCCTGCCCCCTCCCCTGCCCCGGGGGCAGCAGGGGGGCTGTGGGGGCAGCAGGGGGGCTGCACTCACGTCTCTGGGCGGGGGGGAGGTGAAGGACTGGTCTGTCCTGCACTGGATCGCCAGGCGCACGTCGTCCGCGTCCACGCTCGACTTCTTGGCGTGGCTCGAGTAGATCTTGGCGTCCTCCAGGATGGTGGTCACGTACCCTGGGGGGACAGCTCAGTTCAACCCTTCCCTCCCAGCCCTGGCACTAGAAATACGACTCCCTGCAGGGTTATCACTCACACTGCCAGGGCAGGGTTCGATGGGATATTGGGAAGGAATTCTTCCCTGTGAGGGTGGGGAGGCCCTGGCACAGGTTGCCCAGAGAAGCTGTGGCTGCCCCATCTCTGGAAGTGTCCAAGGCCACGTTGGACGGGGCTTGGAGCAACCTGGGCTAGTGGGAGGTGTCCCTACCCTTGGCAGGGGGTGGGAATAGGTGGGCTTTAAAGTCTCTTCCAACCCAAACCACCCTGGGCTTTGTGACTCTGTGATTACTTTCAAAGAATCCCAGAATTAAGGCTGGAAAAGATCTCCACGACTACCGAGCCCAGTGGTTAAAGTCTGAGACGGGAAACCCCCAAGGGAACAGGGATACAGCACTGCCCTGCTCCCACAGCACTGCCCTGCTCCCCCCGGCCTTTCCCCGCGCCCCTCCCGCCCCGGCCCCGGCCCCGCTCACTGTAGGCGAACTCCAGCATCTGGTTGATGACGCGCGGCTCGTACTCGGTGATGCCCATGTCCTTGAGGATCTGCGCCATCACCTGCGGGGGGAGAGGGGCACGGCTGAGCCGCGGGGAGCCCCCCGCCGCCCCGCTGCCCCCGTACCCCGTGCCCGCGGTACCTGCGCGTCTTTGGGGGCGCTCTTGGGGGACGCCATCTTGGCCGCCTCCATCGCTCCCGCTCACGTGACCGCCGAGCGGCGCGCGGGGCTACGGCGGCCGCGAGGGCTCGGTTGCCATGGAGACGCGGCCCGGCGCGGTTGCCATGGAGACGCGGCATGGCGGGGCAGAAATTCCTTGTGATATAAATATTCCTGGAGACCAAGTGATGCGCAGAACAAATGTGGTGGATCCAGGGATCTGTCCCCTGTCCCTCCTGCTTCAGACAACCCAGTGCCCCCTGTCTGCTCTGTGGCGCAGCAGGAGGGGATGTTTTTTTACTTCATTAATGGCTTTGAAGCCACTTTTTAAATTGCTGGCATTCTCAGGGTTAGATAAAAATGAGAGTGTGTTCTTGTGTATTTCCACCGTTCTGAAAATAACTGGTTCCACTTAGGAAGCAAATTTAAAAGCTTTTTCCAGGTTGTTTTCGTGGCAGCTGGATGGATTTGAAAGTCATTTAGAGCACGTTCCATGCGGGTCTCATCAAAGTTTCTCCCTTTCAGAGACAAAACAGAACCAAAGATAAAGTTTTCTTGAGATTTTGCCAGACAGGGATCAACAGCATTCCAGGAGCAGTTGCAACATGTTGTTACTGTCCGTGATAGTCCAACTGAAGCAAGAGCTGGAGGACAAGTATGTCCCAGGGACTCCCATTAAGCCTCCCCGAAGAGAGGGGGAAGGGAACAGCATCTCCCTCTGCTCCCTCTGCTCCACCTTTTACCTCACTGCAGAACGTTCCAGCAGCAGCCACATTCCATCTGCTCCCCATCCCCACCCAGGAAGGTGTCCAGCACCTGGATCAGCCAACTTGGATGGAAACACATCCCAAAACTTTGGGGGTGCTGGGGGTGCTGGGCTCACCTTGCTGGGGGGCAGGAGTAGCCCCGTGGCTCCGACAGTGCCTGCAGGGGCTGGAAAACCCTCATCCTGCAAGAGGGGCAGGCACAGAATTCCTGAGCCGAGGAGCTTGGCCGGAGTGCCGCAGGTCCGAGGCCAAGTCATTTGACTTCCATGAGTCAGAGCGTTACACAAAAACATCCTGCGAGGAGGAGGGAGGAGGAATTCCAGACACTGACCTTAGACAACAAACAAAATCCACTTTTTTTCCCTTGTTCTAGGGAAGAGGGGGGAGCTCTTCCACCCCGGGCTCTGGATCAGGCTGGAACTTGGCACATGGGGCTGTGGCCGTCACTCCATTTGTTCCTGAGGCAGGAGAGAAAATGATGTTTGAACTGCCGTGGGACTCTGGATTTACCCCCAAAACCCACTGGATTGGTGCTAGGAAACCTTCCCCACCCACCCACAAGTGATATTGCAGGCTAGGAAGCACGACCAGGAGCTACCTGAAGGATTTCTGTGGGAAATCAGCAGTGAGGAGAAGACATGGAGAGCCACCTTCCACAGGGGAGACAGTTGTCCTCAAGGCCACAAACACCTTCCTGGTCATGGAAGCTTCTCCCCATGGCCAGCCCTCAGGGAATCATGGAATCATCCTAGATCATGGAGTCCAACCTCTGTGCCCGATGCCCACCTTGTCCCCCAGCCCAGAGCACTAAGTGCCACGTCCAGTCCTTCCTTGGACACCTCCAGGGGCAGGGACTCCAAACCTCCCTGGGCAGCCCTTCCAATGGCCCACCACCCTTTCCATGAAGAAATTCCTTCTGATGTCCAGCCTGACCCTCCCCTGGCACAGCTTGAGCCTGTTTCCCCTTGTCCTGTCCCTTGTTCCCCGGGAGCAGAGCCCGACCCTTCCCCAGCTCCCCCCTCCTGTCAGGGAGTTGCAGAGAGCGAGAAAGTCCCCCCTGAGCCTCCTTTTCTCCAGGATAAATGTCTGAATTCTGCATTCTGTGGGCACTGAGCAATGCACCAGTGGAAGAGCATCCACCCTTCCTCTTCACTCAGACACTGGGCTTGTTTTCAGCATTGGAAAACAGGAAATGGGGTCACGGCGTGTCCCGGCCGAACTCTGACTCCTCCATCTGCCACCACCGAGCCGGGGTCGTTCATCCCAGGCAGTGTCTGCCAGCTGGGAATTATCTGCTCCGAGAAATCCGGAGCACAGCCCAGGCAAGCACAAACCAGGCATGGCTCTGTTCAGGGTGCAGGATTTAAATCCCATAAATTTTAAATCCCTGCAAGTGTTCAAGGCCAGGCTGGACGGAGCTCTGAGCAGCCTGGTCTAGTGAAGGTGTCCCTGCCCATGGCAGGGGGTGGAGTGGAACAAGATGGGCTTTAATGTCTGTTCCAACCCAAACCAGCCTGTGATCCCATGAAATTTAACTGGGAATTTCTTCACAGACAGGAGGTGTTTAAGGTGCAGCCAAGCAGAGCTGTGGCACACACACAGCTTTTCTTGTTTAGAGGTGTCCAAGTGCTTAAATCCCCTGAATAAACACCCACAGCCAGTGCTTTTGCCTGTTGGAAAGGGCAGCAAGAATCTCCCCAACGTCAGAACTGGGATGTGCCGGACAATGCAGTGACTGTGCTCAGCACTGACCTTTCCAGCCCAAATCCCACACTATTTGGCTCCACAAAACTCTGGCTTTTGAGCAGCCCTTCAGAGTAGAGAAGCTGCAAGAACTGAGCTCTGAGGAGGTTTGTGTTGTACCTGATACCCCTCTCACTTCTGCCAGCGCCCCATTCCCGGGTTATGGAGGAATTCCTGAGGACTGTAGATGGGCACATCCTTCTGCAGGGTGTCCCTGTCCCTTTGGCTGTAATTCCAGCCTCCCAGAGCCTTCCCGTGGGTTTTCCCTCACACTGGCCCCCATCACCCTCATCTCCCCCCTCCTGGCACTTCCCAGCTCATCATCCCTGATCTTTTCTCAAGTGGAAATTAAATCCGGGCTGAGTGTCCGACTGTCTCATTTGCAAGACTGGTGGTCAAATAAAGCCCCTCCCATCCTCTCCTCCTCACCAAGCTCCTGGGAAGAGATTTGTCTGGTTTTCAGGATCACAAACCTGGGAAACAGAACTCATGTCCCTTCTTTCCCACAAGAGCCAAGAGGTGCAGTGCAGGCTAAGCCAGGCCAGCTCTCTGCTCTCTCAAGCGGATGGAAAGCAACCTGTAAAGTGCTGGAAAAGAAAATGGCAAGGAATTCCTCATTTTGTGGGATTATGAACACATTCCCTTCTTCCTAAAGGTCGAGTCACTGCTCAACCCTCAGGTCTGTCCCAGCACCATCCTGACCTCACACAAAGTGGTTCAGGAATTCCCACGGCCTGGTCCCTGCTGACACAGCTCTGGGGGAGGAAAAGGACAGTGATACTCCACGGGCCCCACAAATAAAAAAGTCTTTACAGAAGAAAAGTTATTTCAGCTCCTAATGCCACTGAGCATGTTCCTTCACCTCAAATTCCACATGTCACAAATGAGACTAAAACCCACAAAACCACACGAGCCCGGAGTCAAATTTGAATACATTTGTATTATTTATTGGCTGTATTAAATATATTATCTATTTGATAGTTACAATTTAGTAATACAATGCATGGCAGCTTTAACATACGTTTGAGATACCTCAAAAATGACAATACAAGAAAACTGAAGATACCTAAAAACATTAATGCCACGAGGGTACATCCTTCTGGAATGGACAACAGCTGATGGAAGAATCCGTATTGCAGTATAAATCCCAGTTGCTTCTGGAATTACGAGTATTCTGTGGCAATTACAAAAGGATTTTGTTTTTAGCAGTCATGACTTGTTAGTATTTACTCTGCGCTCCGAATTTCTCTTTTAAATGACCAGGAGTATTATTGCCAAATAACCCTCTACGAGTTGGTTCAAGGAGTTAAGAAATAACCCTTTGGCAACAGAGATTTCTGAAGGCAGTTTATCTGGGGTTTTTTATCAGTTTATCTGCTAAAGGGAGGCTATGAGGAAAATAAAGACAGATTGTAAACTCTTCTGCAAACTAAAGACTAATATCTGTATAAAACTCTTTCCGACACTGGAGGGAGAGATTTCTATGACATAATAAATGATTAACTTAAAGTTCTGCTACAAGTAGAACAATACATTCAAACATACATTTATTTTTTTTTCCAGGACTTTTAATCAAAATAAATAGAGTACAAAATGAAGAGTATGTTTTGAAAAGATTAATTTCAGATTGCACCATAAATCTACTGTGAAGAGGATTAAGCATTACTAGGCCATAATTTAGGTTTTCCACATCTGAAATACAACACAATGCCTCAAACTAACACGACGTTATTCCTCAACTGCCGTAGGAGAAAGACCCTCAAGGTGGTGAATTCATGACTGGAAACACGGCGCCTGTAGCTCTGTCACATCCACCCTCCCACGTACAAGTGCATCGCTCTGATGTACAAAGTGGAGCCACAGACTTTGCAAAAACACCCTAAATCCACCTTTCTGTGGCATATTCCAAACGCTGTTGGCAAGACCCATCCTGAAACACTGGGAATTTGTGAGTTCCAGCTTTCAAAACCTTTACCCAACGGAGCCAGGAGCTGTGAGGCTCCCTCCTCCTCAGGGATTCACAAGCAGATGGAACACAACAGTCAAATGTAGTGCACAGTGTCCACAGAAATATCCCCCAGCCAACCAGGACGAGTTTCAGACAAGTTCATAGCGGGCTGAACATTCCCAACAGGAAAACCATGGAATGTGAAGCTGCTACCACTGGGATAGCGAGTCGTTTAAAACATCGTATAAATGTTATCTAAAAAGAGCTCTCTCACATACAATTTGATCGTTGGGGTTAAGTTAGAAGGGCACCCAAAAGCAGGCTGAACTTTTTATTTTTCAGGTTAATAATAGTACAAAAATTGCTCAGTTTGAGCCAAATAGTGTAACATTTATCATAAATGCACTCTTTCTCCTTGAAGACAACAACACCTGTGCTGTTCTGAGCACGCTGCACAGGGAATTACTTTTCTCTCAGGCACTGAGAGTGAAATGTGGATTGGGCCAAAGCTGCTCAGGACAGCAGGAACGTTCCGGTCACAACAGGGGCCTTTCCTCCGTGTCCTGCTCCAGCTGGCATTGATTTGGATTAAAACTCTAAAAAACTGGCACCCTCTACTCCAACACTTGAAATGAT